TTAATATGTAATATTTATTCTCTTCAATCTATGAAACAATAACGAAAAATCCCCTTTTATTTGTTTTTTAAAAGAAATAACATGTGTCACACAACAAACAAGAATTGTTGAATAATTTAGTATTATTCTTCTAAAATTTTTACTCTTTATTTTAAATCTCAAGAAATAAAAGTGAGGGTGAAACCTTGTGCGGTAAAGGCATAAAGGAGATATTCCTTTGGTGTTTTTAACAACTTTTACGAGATTTCAGTCCATTTCATAACCCATATATTCGTCCCTACTTTATCTTTAACTTATTTAGGAATATAACATTTCTCACAGCAAAAAGGTGACTTTTCCCTTGTTAAAATATTGCAATTCCTCTCTAAAAAACCAAAAAAAAAAAAAAAAGAGGTTCCAATGAAATCCACCGGCAATAGGCATGGCACAGACGAGGTCGGAGATTGGCATGGCTCGGAGGAGGCCGAAGATCGGTGTAGCTCAGCGAAGGAGTTTGGAGATCAGCTTTGGTGTGCACGGAGACATCTCCGGCCACCTTCTATGCACGAGGTTGAGATGCCTTGTGCTGCGTGCACGTGACGCCGATAACGGCCTCCCTTTTCCATGCGGCCACACCTTGGTCCGTCATTGGACCTTACCGTTCACGCCGTTTGCTGTGGTCCTTCGTCATCAATCTCCAACAGATAACAACCGATAAATGAAGAACGATTAAGATCTCATTATCGTGGTCGGAACAAGGATCTTAATTTACATGTTGTGGTCACGACGAGACCTTGTAATTAGGTTTTAACTTCAATTGATGGCCACTTGGAGTCGACGATGATTTTGATATTTTAAAATTTAAAAATGGTGTGTTCGAAAGGAAAAATGATTTGGTTTGTAGAAATGCCCCTGTTTCGCAGGTGTTTGGAACCTTGAAATGAGAGTATGGGCTGACATAAGTTCACTGAACTTTGTTACCCAATTCCTTTAACCCTACGCAATTACATTGCATTTGTCATGTGATTTCTACCTTCTTCACCATGATTAATATGCTCAATTTGCAAAGATAATAAAGAGTAGGGTTCTTTTTCTTTTTGGAAGAGAAATTGCATTAAAGAAAAAAAAATACAAATGCTAGAATTATTACATAATGAGTCTAATCCCGAACAAAAATAAGATTCATATGAAACTCAAAAAAGGAAACGTATATCATGTTCGGATAATAAAAAATCAAATAGGTACAAGGACATTTCGTCATTCAATACAAGACATCCCCACCGTAGCTTCTTTCTTCAACTTTAATTTATGGATTGGAACCTTAGGGGTGGCAATCTCTCTAAAACTTTCCATATGAAAAAAGGACAGTCTCCTTAAAACTCTCGTAAACTGTTAAAAACCTAAAACAAAATTCTCATTTTGTAAAATTACACGCATAAAAAGCAGTCTTAATCTCCCAAAATAACATACAATAGAGGCAAAGAATCCGTTTAGAGCAGTGATAGAGTTAAGATTTTAATCCAGTGGGGGCACAAATAAAGATGAAACTTATGAACTAAAATAATAATAAAAAATAAAATAAAGTAGAGCCAACAATATTTATTCATAAAGCTAACATTTGTATTAAATAATATTATCATGCCCTCATAAAAGAATAATAAATACTTAAGATAAGGAGAATTAAAAAGCATGCCAAATAAAAAAAAGAAATTTAAAATTTGAAAAATAAAAAGAAAATGCTTAAGAAAAAGAGAATTGAAAAGCATGCTAGATCAAGCTTACTAAAGACTTTTGAGAAGAATTGAAGCCCAATTTTATTATATAAGGATATGCTCAATGGCTCATTCATTGGGGCATAAAAACCAGATTAAGGGTCCGTTTGGTATAAGGATTGAAATCAATGTGATTTGAGTCTTTTTGATTTGAATCATGATTCATGATTTGAATCATGATTCAGAGTGATTAGAACCTTCGTTTGGATGTGTATATGCATGATTCCGATTCTAACATGAAATGTGATTCGAACCAGTGTTTGGTTGTTTTGTTTTCTGAATTTGAATCATGACCAAAATAATGTTATATAACAAATATAATTCGTTACGTGTAATTTAAAAAAAAATATAATTCGTCATATAATTAAAAAATGAAGTACTAAAAAAAAATTATGCAACTAATTATAACTCAGAATTATAACAAGCTAAGTGAGAAATAAATGAAAAAAATGTGAATAAAATTATATAACAAGCCAAGCATATATCAAACTTGTCTCCCACGGGTTCCATTGTATAACAAGCCAATTACTAGAAAAAAATGATTTGTTTGTATGCCATACAATCAAGACGCAACACGAATCACTCGATCGAAAGATTTCAACTGAATCTGATCATGATTGGAAAAATATTTCAACCCTATTGAACATTCGGTGCCAACTAGTACATTAATTGATATTTGCTGTTATCCACTCCAAATTATTCAAAACTAAACAGCAAGAGGGGAAAAAAGGAAAAGAAAAAGGAAATGAAATTGTGTGCAAATTAGCACTACAAATGGACAAGTTACATCAAGATCCAGTAAGAAGCCATAAACCATTCAACACATGTTCGTGGCAACAATAAACAATACCACATTGCTCAGTACCCTGTCATATGTCAAACGACAGTGGTTCTCTGATTACCAATGCAGCACCTTCTTTTATCTATTTGTGTTTCCCCTATATGCACATTTTTGGGTCTACTAGTTGAGATATTTTGTAGTAGTACATTTTGAAAATGCTACAAGTAAATCAATCTTGCCATGGCGAAGGCATTCTGAAACAGATGCTACATTCTTCTCCTGGCTACTGCCGAAGGATTATTCGGCTTCGGTATTTGTGACTTCATTGGGTTTACGATTCTGTAAAAGTTGAAGATGATGTTGTAGGATCTGTAGAATCACAATATGAAAAATAAAGTCGAGTCAAGAACAACAACAATGTGAATATAAAAGATGGACGCCAAAGGGATATAACTAGGAAAATTCGAATTCTCTACGTTATGTACTTTACCTTTTGCTGGAAATGGGATATTATGTTCTGGTTTCAAAAAAAATTTCATAGTAATGAAGTGGTATATATACTCCCACTATGTAAGATTCCTATTGAGTACGTCCCTTACTTTACTTTGACAGGGAGCAATATTGACTTTGCTCTCTTTGGCATCAAAACGTGACCTTTTTGGAACAAAAATTGAATCCAGATGCAATCCAAGTTGACACTGACGGACAGTAGAACCATCACTCTTTTTTTTCATTTGGTTTGACCGGGAACAGAACAGAAGAACTGGGGGAATCCAATATATAGCAAAGCATTAGTACTTCCAATGCTTTACTTCGCCAAGGAGCTATACCAACTTTGCCATTTTTTCGTTTGGCATCAACAAGTGTCCTCATTGAAAAATATGTTCAAAAAGGAGTATCCAGATGCAATCAAGTTTACACATAGCATCCCAATCCGTGAGAGTAGAACAATCAGATAAGCACTAAGGGATACCATTAGCCACAATCAGGTCACTACCTGGCCAAGCATTTTATTGCACATCATTCACCATTTCCATCTCAAACTTAGACAAAGAGGACCATATTACAAACAATGTTACAGCATCAGTTTGCCGTAACATACTGAAGCAGAAATGATCAAACTTCACATACTCAAGCACAAAAAAACCATGTTTAATGAAGCACAAAAAAACTAATGATTTAGATCTTAAAAGGAATAAACGTATGCAGGAGAAAAGTCCAAGATTTTACTTATCCTACTATCAATGAACACTTCGTAGTGTCAACTAAAATCGAATTTGCACTTTACAAGCTTCCCTTCATCCTACTATCAATGAACACTTCATTGGGCAGATTAGTTTAAAAAGCAGCATTCCCAATAGGAATGGTGTTTCTTGCCTTCTGGGTAGCTAAACTCAATAGGGGACCTAAAAAAATGTATGGCAAAAATCAAACCATGAACAATTTCTGCTACATCATGACCGTTTATTATAGCAGACGGCTGCCAAAGTAACTTTGAGAGCCACCATTCCATGAACTATCCCGGACATTCCATGACCTTTGCTATCCAGAAACCTCCCTGGAATTATGTCCACAGACATTTTAACACTGTTTTTTTTGGGCTTGCAGATGCGGTTCCAGCTCTATTGATAGAGGTATTATGCACTGCTCAGCTCTATTGATAGAGGTATTATGCATTGCTCGTAAGTTAAATAGGGTTGTTGTATTTATCTATCACGCATTAGTTCATGGCAAAGATTATTTGATACTTTGGTACACCATGGAATCTGTATGTATTATACCCTTCACAGTTGTATGTGAAGATATCTGTTATGGCATTTGTTTAGAATTTTCATATTAACAAATAAAACCAATAATCCGAAAATGATGCATTTGTAATTGTATATAACTAGAAGTAGGTCCCTCAAATAGGAAATATAACACAATTAAGGTAGGGAAAGAACATACTAATCATCAACTCCACTGCAGTATCTTTAAGACCGTCTTCTAGTTGATTAGGACGCCAAATATGCAGCTTGTTCTCGGTAATATTTAAACTCATTTCTGAAAATAGCCTTGCAAAGTAGTATTTCCTGGAGAGCACAAATTACAAACCCACATCATCAAGAACATCCACATCATGCATTCCCCAAAACCAAAGTCCAACTATACTCAAACAAAGCAAGAACGTAACAAAACTTACTAGCCAAAAGTTAATTACCTTAACTAATTTCTAAGAAGAGTTGCTGGTTGGACTAGAATCAAGAACTGTTTTATATGCGGTTTTTTACATTGTAGTTGGTGTGTTAGCTAAGGTATAAATTCCAAACACTTCCTCTGCCATATTCAAATTTCTCTTCATTAAAATACACAAGTGTGCAAACTTCTCTGTGCAAACAAAGCAAATTAAAGGTAGGAACAAAAACATAATGCAGAAATGAGTGGAAGTAAAGAAACTACCCCATTAAGCTTCAGCTTCAATCCGCGTATCAAACGTGTCTCTCACGGCTTCCCTGATATTCCACCCACATTTCATTCGCAAGGTGATCCCTAAAACGACCCATCTCTATACGATTAACACTACCTCTTGTTACAACTGGCCCTTCAGGGACATTACTATCAGTGTCATCGTCATCAAATTCATCATCATTGTTCGGATCTATTTCGCTTACCGGTACACCATCACAGTAGTATTGATTTAGAAGGGGGTCCCCCTCATTAAACATGTGAATGAAATTGTGCAATATTGCACAAGTAATAAGAATCTTCTCTTGTTTATCCATTGAATACGTATTATTGGGGCGCCTTAGGATAGGGAACCTAGCCTTCCAAACCCCGAACGTTCGCTCTATACAATTACGTAGCGACGAGTGTTTGTAGTTAAAAATATCTCTACCTCCCTGAAATCCACCACTTCTCCTTCTATAATCAGGCAAATGGTAAGTCTCACCTCTGTAGGGAGCGAGAAAACAATTAGAGTTCGCGTACGTCGCATCAACAAGATAGTATTTTTCTGCGCAAGTTATATAAATTAAGATGTAATTTATGCCCCATACTATTAATACCTATAACTACAGATACATTATGAAATATAACCTGGTGGGGGACGGGGGAACTTGAACCTAGGATTGGAGTGCGTTTCCGTTAGCACTCTTGCATCGTGCGCTGAACCTTCCCATCCAGATAACATGTACGTGAACTTTATATCGAAGGAGTAGACTGCCAATATGTTTTAGGAGTTCACTCCCTTCCTATTGCGGTACGCTGTAGGATTTGGAACTCCAATCGGTGTACAAGGAATATGAGTTCCGTCAATTGCGCCTACACAATCCTGCACAATAATATTAGATTGTAGATATTATAAGTAAGAACAATCAGTGGAGTGAGTAACACAAGACCGAGGTAATATAGCTAGAGAACACACGTCAAACCATGTTCCATATCTTTGACGATTCTGACGTAAAAAATTATGCACTCTCTCATAGTTAGGGGGTTTAATAAAATCATCATGTAGTGCACATATAGCATCGAGAACATCACCAAACCGCCATGAAATTGTCTCCCCAGAATGTTGCCATATGTCTTGAGCTTCACGGTTAGTTTGACTTTGGCAAGCGATTGTTAAAAACACAAATAATTGTTGTTGTACATTCATGTTGTAAGAGGGTTGTAACAATCGGCGTTCAATTAGTATGTTACAGAGAATCATGAATGCACGTGGTCCCATACGCACCTTGTTAAACATAGCGGCTTCATTATTGTTTGATAACAACTCATTTACCTTATCGATGCCCGTCAGAGAAGAAATGTGCACCGGCCGTGGTACTGTGTCACTATCCAAAAACTCGGCACTGGCAATTGTAGTTGCGATTGCAGCCATAAAGCGTCGTCGCCGTCTATAATGTGCCCTTCTCTGGTTGTCATCATTTGCATGTCCGGATCTTTCTCCCTGCATCTTGAAGCTTCACGGTTTAACCTGTACACAACATTTGCATGTCATTTGGGTGGAGTGCATATTCGAAGTCTGTTGCAAACGTTCATACAAACAAATTCAGTAATGCCATCGAAAGTATCAATGACCATACAACTCAGTAATTCAGAGTTTTTAGAACACCTATATCCAAGTACAAACAGAGTGAGGGCACAAAACTAAATTCTCTTCAAGCAAAACCAAACACATTGACAACGATTACTTTGACTACAAAGAATTCTTGCTATATTCGCAGAAATGAAGGGGAAAGTGCCATATATTGTATAAACATAAATCCGGGGTACAAAATCATACTCAAATTAAAACAATAGTACAGTCTAGGAACGAAAGTAGAGTAACGAAATCACACAAATGAAGACTAACAAATTAATAGAAACTCAAATTCGGGGGTTTACAACTCGACCTATCAAAAAACATACTTAACACACAAATGAAGACTCTACAAGTGACAATGCTTCCTAAGGAGTTGGTGGACAGCTATATGGGTTAGGTAGATGCGTGAAGGTGCTCGGGGGCTGTCCAAAGGAGGGTGGTTGCTGGTTGTAGGGGTTTGGTGGATGTTGGAAGGAGCTTGGGGGCTGTCCAAAGGGGGTTGGTTGCTGGCTATACGGATTAGGTACTTGCGAGAAGTTTTGAGGTGGCTGACTATAACGATTAGGAACAAAAGGGGTTTGGGGCAGTTGAACAAAGTCATCTAAGAAGGCTCTCCTCGACGAATCATCAAGCTCCGCCCAAAGTGGACGCCATGTGTCGTCCTTAGTAATTTTCTCAATCGCATGGACACGTGTACGCGAATCAATTCCCATTTGGACCAGCGACTCTAGTATTAGACTCACTTCACTTGGTCCATTGACGGTGTTGTTACTTGGGAGGGTCTCTTTGCTTGCTCGAATATCTTCTCGCAAATCATTGCGCATGTCCTTCACCGCTTCAAGCATCTCCTCTCGCGTATTGTCATTGGATTTGCGTGACCTTGTCGACCTCTTCCGAATCGTACGTGATGATGAGGCGACGTTGGTCGCATTTTCCATTCGTTGGCGTTCCATGCGGCGGCCAAACTCCACTCGAATGTCATCATCATCAATGTCTTGGTACGGAGAGTTTTGCTCGTTCTGTGGTTCCTCAATCCTAGCTCCAACGTCATTCGAGGGGACACTGTCCGCATGTTCTTGTTCCATGGAGGGGTGGAATGATCTTGCACCAGTAGCGACAACTCGACTGGGGAAAATGGCAGCCAAGTGCATGTCGTTAAGCTTCCAACCGTTACTGAAAATTGTGTTTACTTCACGGTTTCTCTAGCAAAATTTTAAACAAAATTATAAGTTATTTACACTTATTACATAAAATGTACGCTGCCATATTTTTGAATGAGGGACCAATAACGAATCACACATTATACCTTGGAAAGATCTTTCCGCATATCCTCCGAGCATGTGAAAGTTTTGTTGATAGAATCCCACCCAACTCCAGTATGGGCTTGCAACATTTTGAATGCTGCGTACACCTTACTAAGTCGGCGGCGTTTCTCCTTAAGGCGCTCACCGGCTGGTACATAGCCATAAAAAAAGTGGCCATCTGAATAGCCCATTGGTTGTAGTCACGAGATTCCGGTTGCTTCCCGTTGTTGGCACAATGGTACTCATAGAGACACTCAAGTAGGAACACCTCCGAATCCGCGCTCCAATACAATGGCCTCTCATCCGCGTTTTTCCTAGGCATCTACAAACGCATATGACAACCAAAAGAAATAAATCTTATGCATCGAGTTTATGTGTGTATTTTGGAGCTTTAACCTTATGGTCTATCTACATAACAATAGGGATTGAAAAATGCCCTAAAAATTACTAGCTATAGTTGCTAATAAACACTCAAGGGCCACTCCAATCCTGGATTAAAAATGCAAAATTTACAATTGTTTGAGGTTGCTGAATGGGATTTCCAGCCTCTATTATTTCCTGTAGAATTGTCTATTTAGTTGGATGAAATCCTAGTTAAGGCTAGTCTTTTAACTTAGTCAAAAAAAAAAAAAAATTAAAACCCCTTGCTGCAACTCCCTCAACCCCTTACAAGAAAACCACCGTCCACACCTCCAAACTTGAAATTTCCCCATCCTTTCTCTTCCTAATCCATAGAGGAAGAAACCCTTGCTTTTCTCCTTGTCTTCGAGTTAAAATGCATGCATGACTTAAGTCTTATTCGTTGCACTGACCATCAAATTCAACACTATTTTTTTTTATCATTTCCTATGTCGTTACCTTACACATTGCAAAATACTAGCTTCTATGCGTGTTTCCCATCCCGACTTGGCCACAACTACTTGCAAGGAAACCCATAAATGCTAGCCAACTACACGAGAAGGAACCACTTCTATATGACTATAAGTACACTACAATTCCTCTCAAAATTTTCTACCCACTAAAACTCTCAACCCTTTTATATATAAATCAATATAAGTAGTGAAAAAGTTTCTCTTGTATCTCATCATCATCATCATTTCACTAGCCATGGAAAAATCAAAGGTGAAAATCTAAAAAAAACACATATCAAACCAAATTGCTTACCAGCTAGCGGGGAAGCTTGGAAAAGATGAGGAAGGTGTGTTTAGGGTGGAATACAACAATGAAATGGAAGGTGTTGTGTTACAATTACTCTACTGGCATAGCAAACTCAGGAGTAAAGAATCATACCATTTCCCGTTAACATTTGCTAATGCTAATGGAGTTTCTGCTTCAATTTCAAATCAAATTGCTTACCAACATTAGTTGCATGCAAGGCAAACTGGTTTAAGCGTACTAACATTAGTTGCTTAATAACATTAGTTGCTTACAAGCGTATCAGGGGAACAAACATTGGACACAAAAGGCGTTGACTGTGGTTATTTTTTGTGTGTGTAAATCAATTACCTATGTGAAGAATGGAAAGTGAGACATGATGCTACAACAGAAGATGCAACCGTGTTCTATGTTCTACAAATCCCATTTCCACAAAATGCCCTAAATTCTACTGACAACAACCATTCAGGAACACAAACAATCATTGACAGAAACCCTAATCCCTAAATAGGCAAATCAACCAGAGTCTATGTGAGGATCACTTACCGGTAAATTGTTCGAATCTGAGGAGGAGATTAACGTCACTGCCGGCAAAACACCAAACGCGGATGAAGGTTTTTTGTATTTTTCCGATGAGCATCTTGTTCCTCTCCGGCGAAGGCGTGAAGTGGGAAACCTTTTGTAGAATCGACGAAATTGACACCGAATGTGAAGCCTCGGTCGTTTGTTCACGAGCAGAGCTTTACGTGAAGCATTTCTCATTAACTCAGAGAGGTGAAGATCAACTGGGTTGTTTACACGGTTATTGCCCGAAGAAATGAGGGAAGAGATGAGTGAAAAATTGAAGAAATAGGAAGCAGAGAATCTCTGCGAAGACATGACAGGAGTGAAAAATTGGAAGAAGGAGAGAGCGTGTCTCTGCCAAGACAGGACACAACACTGACGAGGGAAGATGAGAAGGAGAACCAAGGAAGAGCAGAGAATCTCTGCCACGATCGAAGGCTGGAAGGACCTCTGGCAGAGAACGTGCTCTCTGGCATATAGTTGGGTGTTGCGGTGAGAATTAACTCACACGAAGCACAGTGAAAGTATTGTGCAAGGATTGAAATTTTGGGCTGAATCAGGGGGGGCCTGATTCTGAATCAGGACCCCAAAAATGACCCCTAACTCAAGTCTCTGACCCTAATCCATGCGACACCAAACACGATGTTGAGCACATGACTCCAATTTTTTGATCAGGATCTCCCAACCAAACGGGCCGTTAATAGAAGAGGTCTCATGAGTTTGTATTACTATATATATTTTTTTCCACTTCTTCAGTGGGCCGTGTCCCTACACCTTGTGCATGTAGCTCTGTGTCTAGTTTGGAGGATGAGTTTAAACTCACATGATTTTAGTGTAAGTAGTGGTTTTTCTTATAAAAAAATTTCAATGAAAAAAACTTATGTTTTAATATTTTCTTTCGTAAAATTTAAATTGTTATTCAAATCACTAATTTGAACCCATCTTTCAAAAGGGCCGAAAGTCTCAAATCCAATACTCATATAGTTTAGCAAATGTAACTTTTTTCGTATTCCCATATAACAATATTCCTACGTATGTGTAATATTTTATTGTTTAAATGTAACACTTAATGCTATATGTATGTGTCTAACTACAATATTTTCAATGTTACATTTAAGTAAATTGAGTGTTACATGTATGAATCAATGATACCTATACTAAAAAGTTACATTTGCTAGACCATATAGCCTCGTTTGGTACATGGGATATGGATTATGATTAGGATAAATAGTTCCAATCCCATGTTTGGTGACAATTATTGACCGGATGACTTGTCTGTTGGCCAAAAAATAGTACCAATTTTGTTGGATTATTTGTCCCTCTATAAATGTGGGATTATTTATCCAGAACTAGGATTAGAAATATTTTTCAAAACCTAACCCTTTCTCCCCCACAGATCTGCTACCCCCTGCCTAAGCGTGCTGCCGCCGCTAGCCGGAGTCACCATCGTCGCACGCCCACTGCCGTCGCCCGCCCATGTCTACCGCCGTCCCACCCCCACTCGTGGAGATCTTCGTAGCCGCCATTGCACGCCGCTCTCCCCCAACCCCAAACTCCCTCACCCAAGGCCACAATCGCAAGACCCACCCCAAATCTTTGCCGCCGGTGACCCTCCGGCATTCCCTGAATCTCCATTGCTTGTGACCCCATCCTTCCACATTCGATCTTCATCGCCTAAGACCACCCATCCTCCATACTTCGCCGCCCAACCTCCATACTTCGCCGCCCAACCTCCGTACTTCTCCAATCTCCGCCGCTAACCTCACACGCCACCAGGGATCTGGTCGATCGCCACCCTTTGTATGCTCCGTAATCATAACAGTGAAGGAGAATGAGGCTTTCGGTTTTCAGTTTCTGTCTAATCCGGAAGTTACCAAGCACAAAGTTGGATTTAGCCATATCCAATCCAATCATATCCAACCTATTCCAAACCTCATAATCCTATTTAAGCCAGCGTGAAAAACACGGCCTATGGGACTTGAGACAATACCGGACTGTAGTAGACAGTCTTATGCACCGGACAGACATAATTAAAACTGAGATCTCAATTTGTCTCTAGTAATTATTGAACAAGTGTTGCGCCAATAATGGATGCTTCCAGACCACAAGTTGTACAAAATCATACGTCTTTCAGGAACCCATCAACTCAATTTCACCACGTCACAAAACTGAGTCCCAAAAACCCCAAATATATCAAAATATATTTTTCCTTTTTCTTTTTTTTAATATATATTTAAGGTTCTCCAATCTTACGTTGCAGATAAAATTACAAAATTGAAAATATAGAAAACCAAAAAGTAGCCCACAGAGTCACAGACGTACCGTCCGTCCGTCTTTCTTTCCCCTCTATTTTTGGCGTCCTCTTTTTCATTACTGAGATCCCCGAATCCCTCTGTTTCTCTCTCCTGTTTAAAAGAGAAAAAGAAGAAGAAAGTGGTTGGTGGCAGTGGCGGTGGTGGATGGCAAAAACTAACAAGTACACCTCCATAAACTTCAACCACATCTATGAGAAAACCCTCCCCGCCAATTCCACTTCCAATTCAAACCCAAATCTCAAAACCCCTTCTTCTTCTTCTTCATCGACTTCTTTCTCGTACTCTGCGATCTCCTCCTCCAACAAGACCCATGGCGGCCGAATGCTCGTCCTAACCCGACCCACTCCAAAACCCATTTCCATTCCCCAGCCTCAGCCCCAAGCTCCGGTTCGAGATCCGGCCCGGGCCGAGCCCGGTTCTGACTTGATTTCGCTTCGGCCGTTGGGGAGGACCGGCGGCGGATCGCCGGTTGTAAGCCAGGAGAGGGAAGCTCCGGTTCCGGTGGCGCCGCCGAAGCCGGACAAGTTTGTGCCTCCGCATCTCAGGCCGGGATTCGTGGGCCGAGAGGAGAGGCCTGGGCCGGAGGTGACGGGCCAGAGAAATTTCGGGTCGCCGGGACGGTACGGGGAAGAGCGGCGGCCCAAGTCGGGTGGTGGGCATGAGAGGATGAGGAAGGGCGGTGATCATTCGGATCTGGCGACGATGAATCGGCCGAATTCTAGCTGATGGTAAGTTCTGTTTGCTCTTTTCTTTTTTGGGTTAATCTGATGTTTTCCATTTGTGCTTTTCATTTCAGTGATGCTATAAATGATTATGGAATAAGGATTTGTTTGTGGCTATGAAATATCAATTGCTTAAGAAATGTTTCCTTTTTGGTAATAGATCACGCAAAAAGAAGAAGTTGGGAAGTATGAACTAGAAAGAGGTAGCTACAGTGAGTTTTTAGTTGTGGTTTTTTATTGGTTTGATTTGAAAGTATAGAGAAGCATTGTGCGGCTAATTATTTGCGTCCATGAAGTTTAGTCTGGTGAAGAAAAAGGCATTTTTTGCGGATTTTTTAGTTAGTGTCTTATTGGAATGGAGGTGTTTGGAGATTAATGTATTTGTTATTTAGACTTTACCAACTCAACTTAACAAAGCTTGCTTGCATGAAAAGAAAAAAAAAAGTACCGAGTTTTGTGAGTTTTTTCTGAAACCACTCAGTAACTGATAGAAAAATCGAGTCCCATGGAACAGAAAGTGATGAGCAATTCAGTTTTTTTTTTTTTTTTGAAGTGAAATGTCATTTATTACTCAATCATTAGCTTAATCGGCATGAACACCATCCGCAATACAATCCGGAGTTTCCTCCAACCAAAACCTTTCAGAATCTAATGAAAGAGCAAAATGTGCTGGTGTGTGTGCTGCCTTGTTACACTTACATGAGATGAAGCAACATTGACCACCACCGGCCTCAACCATCAAAGATTTGATGTCATCTACCACTGTCCCGATCTCAGACAAGATGCCTGAATTATCAATACATTCAGCTGCTTCCGAGGAATCCGTTTCAACATCTTTAACCCATAAACCACTATCCCGAGCAAATAGCAGGCCCTCTCGTAAAGCTAAGCACTCAGCAACAAGAACACTAAATGTACCAGAAATCTTCTTTGAGAAAGCTCCCAAAACTACACCAGCCGAGTTTCTAATCAAACCCCCGACTCCTATGAGAGCAAAATTTGGAGAAACTGATGCATCCACATTTAACTTAAGATGCGACCCTATTGGAGGTTTCCACTGACGAGAAGTAATAGAAGGGCTTACCTTATCTGTCAAGGCTGCACGTTGAAAAGCTTGAAACTCCATGAGCCATGACGCAGCCCTTCTAGGACTATGCGAGCTTCACTACTCTTCCCTTCATGAATCAAAAGATTTCGGTCCTTACAAACCAGCCAAAGGACCATACAAAACAGTTCAAGATCCTCTCGTTTAAGAGCAGCAGACATGAACAGAAGAAATAAATCATCCTGATCTCCCTTAAACCGGGAAATTTTACTCCAAAAAACACTTTCTGACCAAATCCGCCATGCAACTGTGCAGCAGACTAAAGCATGAAAACCAGTCTCTAATCCTTCTTGACATCGTCTACATCCACGAACACTGCCAATGCCTCAATGAATTAAATTCTGCCCCGTAGGGAGAATATTATGAAAGGCTCTCCAAACAAAGAGCTTAACTTTATGGGGGATATTTAAGTGCCATAGTAACTTCTGCCAGTTACGATCTGCACACCCCGTCGAACAGTCAGCCAAATTAGCGCTTGCATAGCCACAAAATATCCTGACTTCACAGTATATTTACCTCGCCTATCATAGTGCCAACATAGACAATCGTCATCCCTCCCAACACCCATTGGAATGCTTTGTATAACCTCAGAATCCACAGCAAGAAAAGTAGAGTCAATCAGTCCCGAATTCCAGCCATTGAGGGATTGGGAAGGAGGGGAAAGATACCTTTGGTATCTGTGAAATGAGAATCATCTAAGCTGTCGATTAGGTCCTATGCTGGCACACACTCGTCACGAGTGTGCCTGCATTGTATGGTGGCATTAACACATGTCTATCGATATTTTCAGTGGCTGAAATGGTCCGCGGTTGTGTTTTTAGCTGCCTTCATTTGAATGAAAAAGCATCGTTGAATGGTTATACTCTGTCTTTTACGTTTCTTTGGTTATCCGAATAATTAATTAATTATTTATTTTTGGTTGCAACAAATAGTACAATATGCTCCTATGAGAAATAGATGTTTGACATATATGCTTTCAGTGAAATAATTGTGATTATTGTTTCTACGTTTTAGTATGATATTTATGCGCTTAAGAAGTTAGAAGAGACAATGTTTGGGAACAATTATGCGTCTTTCACAGAGCAGAGCATACTTATTCCTTTTCTTAGAAATTTGATGTAGGGCCAAAGATGGATTAAAGAGAAAGAGAGAAAGAGATAGAGGAAAAGAGAAGAACTAAGAGAAGAAGAAGAATTTAGAAAGAAGCGAGAACAATAGAGAGGAAATTTGTATATTCAATAACAATCATCAATACCTAAAGTAAAAAAGAAAAATACGTGTGTACTTATAGATGCATAAAAACGCAATAATAAGATAAGGGATTGTTTCAAAAATTTCCTCCGAACTATGACCCTTGTAACACTTTGCTCTTTGAATTTTAAAAAATAACATCTGTTCCCCCCGAATTTTGTTCAGTTAACAAGTTTTATCATTCTGTTACAATGAGTGACAGAATTGCCATGTATCACTTATTTAGTGAGAATTGAAAGCGCAATTACGCTTATACCCTCTTAATAAGATAATTTCTCATTTTTATTGAAAAAATTCACCATCTTCTCCGTGGGAATTGCTAAACTTAGTCAAATAGCTCTTGCTGCAACTTAAGCTTCAATCCAAATCCAGAAATTTTAGATTTTCCACCAACAGAAAGGCATCCCAATCCAGCTATATGCATATCTAAAAGTATTTGGGAGAAAAAATGAAATTTCTTTATTTCATATTACACAGTTTTACAATCATTCTTTCTCTTTAAATAGAGAAGAATTGAGAACCCTAATCACCCAAGGTGAGATCCCGGTGATTCTCTCTTAAACTAAAAAAGGAAACATATTTCTAATTATCCTAGAAACATACCTAATATAATTCTAGAAATCAGGAAACTAATTTACACTAAGTCAAATAAGGAAAGTAACCGGATTCCTCTCCAATCACTCGGTTTTTTCCACACTGCCCCCCAAGCTGGAGAATATATATTAATCATTCCCAACTTGTCTACTAGAAATTCAAAGTTGTCTTGATAATCCCTTGGTCAAACCATCAGCTACTTATTGGGACGAAGGAACATAAGAAAGCTCCACTATTCTCTCATCAATCTTCTCTTTGATGAAATGTCTATCAATCTCCACATGTTTGGTGTGATCATGGTGAATTGGATTTTGAGCTATACACAAAGCTACTTGATTGTCGCAATAGATCTTTAAAGTTGATCTATTCTCAAATCTCAATTCTTCCAACACTCTTCTAATCCAAATAGCCTCACAGATTCCATGTGCTAGAGCTTTGAACTCAGCCTCTGCGCTGCTGCGAGCCACAACATTCTGTTTCTTGCTTCTCCAAGTAACAAGGTTTCCCCAAACCATAGTACAATAGCCAGATGTTGATCTTCTATCTTCAATTGAACCTGCCCAGTCAGCATCAGTAAAAGCTTCAATGTGCCTCTTATTAGTCTTCCCAAAGAACATGCCTTTGCCTGGTGTCATTTTAAGATATCTTAGAATCCGGTAGACTGCATTGAGATGTTCTTCATGAGGAAAGTGCATATACTGACTCGCAACACTAACTGCAAATGCTATGTCAGGCCTGGTGTGAGATAAATAGATTAGTCTTCCAACCAGCTTTTGATATCCCCCCTTGTCTACAAGATCTCCTAACTTCTTTTTCTTTCCAAATCCATTCACTTCCACTGGTGTCTCGGATGGTCTTGCCCCTAGCTTACCTATTTCCTTTAAGAGATCAGTAGTGTATTTTCTTTGAAAAAGAAATACCTATTAGCGTGCGAGCCACTTCCATTCCCAGAAAGTATCTCAATTGTCCCAAATCATTGACTTCAAATTCTTTAGCCATCACATTTTTTTAACTCAGATAACTCCACAAGATTGTCTCATGTTAGAATGATATCATCCACATAAACTATCAAAATTGAAACCTTACCACCAGAGTGTTTATAAAACAAGGTATGATCAGCTTGTCCCTGTGTGAAGCCAAAACTCCTAACTGCCTTAGGAAATCGATCAAACCATGCTCTAGGGGACTGTTTCAGTCCGTAGAGAGACTTCTCCAATTTGCACACCTTATTACAACCAAACTCTCCCTCAAAACCTGGAGGTAAATCCATATACACTTCTTCTTCAAGAGTTCTATTCAGAAATGCGTTTTTGACATCCAACTGATGCAGAGGCTAGTCGAGATTAGCAGCCAATGAGAGTAGGATTCTGATTGTGTTGAGTTTGGCAACCGGTGCAAAAGTCTCGTTATAATCAACTCCAAAGGTTTGTGTGAAACCTTTCGCTACCAATCTTGCCTTATACCTTTCTACCGAACCATTTGCCTTATGTTTGATAGTAAACACCCATTTGCAGTCAACTGGACATTTCCCTTTAGGCAGCTCAACAACTGTCCACGTGCCATTCCTTTTTAAGGTCTCTATTTCTTCTAAAACAGCCTTCCTCCACAGTGGTTTTGTCAGCGCCTCATGAATACTTCTAGGGGTCTCTTCTTTAGAAATCTTCTCGGTTGCAGCTCGGAAAGTAGAAGATAGATGAGCGAATGACATGAAGTTGTAGAGAGGGTGCTAGTGCAGGTCTGGGTACCTTTCCGAAGAGCAATAGGGACATCAAGATCACTGAGAGATTGTTCTAGCTCAACTGACTGACTTTCCTCCACTCCAGATTCCTCAGGGACAAAACTTGTCTCAATCATTTGTGTGTGATCAGGCTCTTGACAGTGCTCTGGAGTAGTGATAGGCTTCAGTTGTCTTTGAGATTGTCCACCCTGCCTAGAATAAACACGAAGTTCGTTTTGTGATTCCTTTTGTGGTTCATTTTGTGTGCTTTGCACGTGTGATTCTCCACCTGTTTCCAAATCATTAGATAGCACAATAGGTAACACAGGATTTTTTACTGGTGGGGTAAGAGACTCTGACTCCAATTCTGACTCAATGGAAAAATCCCAAAGCTGCCTTCCACTGTCACTCTTCCCCTAAAGGGGTAGATTTGGGGGTAGTAAGCTTGATCTTCGAAAAAAGAAACATCCATGGATGTGTATACTTTCCATGTACTTGGACAGTAACACTTAAACCCTTTTAATATTTGGAGAGTA